CCGGCAGCGCAACACCGTCATAATTTACCTGCCGGAAGACCACATCAAAACCTGCAGTCCAGTGCCCTTCATATTCCATAAAGGAGGGAAGTGTGAGAGGTAGCCCAGAGGTTCAAGTCATCAGACTGCACGGTAGCCCACAGTCCGTGCGGCTCCTTGGGCCTAGATGCTGTCAACAGTGACACCAGACCTTTCACATGGGCAAACGCCAAACATCAGAACAAGGTCTTTTGGTTCTTCACAATGGCCAAAGACCTTCCGTGGTCCAAAGACCTCTTTGGTGGCAGTAGAAACATGTGGAAACTGAGCTCTGGAAACCGGCAAAAACCCCTGAAGAGTGGCCGTGTCGAGTGAAAACGGCCATCGAACGGAGATGTTGAGCGCCCAGGCTCTGCCTGAGGGCTGGATTTCGCAGTCGGCCGGAGGAGCAGTTGATGGCTGGGAGAGGGATGAGAACTGAGGATGAGGCAAACTGAGGATGAAGGGATCAATCAAAAGGATCTTTTGATTCAGAAGAATCAGAAGACACGTGCCACAAAGTAGGGTCCAAAGTTCCAGAGTTGGTGGTTCGAATTCCAAAGTAAGTTGGTGGCTCAGCTCGGAAAATTGCAGGTGCATATTATATCCACGCAACTGGCTGTGGAGCCTGTGTCGGAATTATATGATTCTAGAGTTTGGATGTAGACATACGGCCACAGCATGTAGGGCGCGCCTGTGCAACACAAAAGACACGATTGGCTGATGCGTTCTTTTGCTTTCTACCGTTCAACACTATTTGGATCTACTGGGGAATCTCTACCCTAGTATATATATATATGTATACTAATTTGTATGTTTAACGTTTATACGGCAATTGTTTAAACCACCGCCCAGAAGACTAATGGCCGTGTGTCGAAAGAGGTCTACGACATATCCGCGAAAGAGGTGTGTCAATGTGTGTCATGGTGCATTTGCCCTTGTAACTGGGTGAATCCTCTTTCTATACAACCCTTCTGATAACTACACTGGATAAATCCTCTTTCTATACAATCCTTTGTTCCTCTTTCCCAGTGAAGAATCGTTGTCATTTCTATTTTGTCCCCGCTTCCTTCAAATCCATCGATCAATCTTTCGATCGCTCAAACGGCCCGGGCCACAACCCAGCAGCCCAAACGCTGAGGATTCGCGTAGGTAAACCCAGGAGTTCAATTTCTGTTCAAAATGATGTATGAGTTGGGTTTGTCCTATCACCTGTAACAGTCAGTAAACAATTATCACTAATTCAGAGAAAGGCCTTTACTAACCATCCTCATCCACTGTTACTCGTAATGAAATAGACCCAATTTATGAGTCATACCTTCATCCAGACGTGATGAGCAGGTTTCTAGGCTTGACTGATGAAAGATCTCAAAAAATCGATCAAGGCCTTGGACGTTTGACACAAAGGCCAAGACAACTCCACTCGGAACATCTCGGAAGAACAAAACTGGATCTGAGACCTACTCTTACCCGCGTCGTTGACCTGGCCTGCTCTAGTGCAGGTCATTTACACTGTGCCCAGAGAATTCCAGAAAATCATTATCAGATAATCCATCATCATCCTACTGTCCCATTTTTCAAAAACCGCTTGGACGTCAGGAGGGCAGCTGTACTATGTAAACCTCCTGGATGGCAAGTCCAGCTGGGAAAGGCCAGGTCACTGTGACCCCGCAGGTCACATCTCATTCGTCCAGCTAGCTGGGAATCCTGAAATCCGAGTCCAGATTTCCCAGTGGTTTCGACCGAAAGCCCGTTTATTTGTTTCCGTTTCGACCACCGAAAGCACAGACGTGTTTTTTTGGTTTTTTGGGGTTCCAAGGTTGGGTCGACCCAAGAGGCGTGCTGTTTTGCTTGGCGGCTTGGCGGCTTTGAAAGGTGAATGAAGCCTTAGTTAATGCTCTAAGTACCCTAAAAGAGGTCCTAAGAGGAAGAGATCATCACGAGTGAATATATATATATATAGGTGATACAAGTCCTCCATCCTCTTAGATATGTGGGAATGAAAAAGGCAATATAGATTGTGAGTTTACTAGTTTGACGCAAACATATTATACATGCATATTCATACACATGCATAATCATGTTGTTGTTTGTGCCTATTAGTATTATATTAGTGATCAATCCTTGCCAAAGCAACCCCCTTATATAAGATTGTTTAATATCTGTAAGAAATCGTAAGACCAAAGAAACTAATTGGGTGTTGTCTTTTTGTTGCTGGCTCTTCGAGCCAGTTATTGTTTGGTTTAAACTTTGTTTGAACCACTATTCTTCTTATTCAAAAAGGTCGCTGGTGAATTTGGTCAAGCTGGGACCTATTGCAGAGGACTTTGGCCAAGTACTTGTCAGTATTCACACAATCATCAAACATCCCAATTCTGCTATATAGCATTGGAAGTCGTCTCTATCTACTCAGAACCTCTTATCGGAACGACCGGGACCTCACGGTCTTCGGCCGGAGCAAACAACTCCTGGACCTCGGGCGTGCACGGCTGCCACCGTCTCCCTCAGCTGACATGAATAGCCCCCCCAGTGGTACTTGTTTTGCAGCTGGCCTAGCATGCTAGTTACCACCCTACCAGTCACCAGAGGAAAAACCATCCTTCAGTCATTCACTTTGAGTTCTCTAGGTGTCCACCTCAGGTCCCTGAAGCAAATCATCAGGCCAACCAACCGACCAACCAACCAACCCTGATCCTTTAGCTGTTCACTGCAGAGCAGCAAACCCAAACACTGAAATACCCTGTTCATTGCCACCGGTCGACAGAATCGCGAGGCCCACGCAACCTGCTGTGAAGGTCTTGTCCATGCAGGACGCAGAACTTTCAGCGCCACCTAGCACCAAGCGCTTGGAGTTCGCTTGGAGGTCGCTTGGTTCATGGATGTTGGTCTAATGGCTCCAACGTTCTTAGACAAGGAGCCCTTCCACACCTGCGCCTCATGACGGTGGCCCAGGGCCATGTCGTTGTCCGGCCCCCGCGGGGCGGATGCCGAGCTGGAGTGGAAGTTGGACGGAGGTCTTTTCGGATGTTTTTTTCTGATTTCAAAGAACGCGGGTACATGAAAAGTTGCCTGAAGGAATCAGTTGCTTAGGCGGCAGTTCCTTCACACCCAACGATCCCTGACGAAAGCTCGGTCTTGGCATTGAGGAACCTCAGAGAAAAGTCACGACAAAGTTTGGACTCCGCGGCTTGAATGCAGACGGACCCCAACATGGGTTCCGTCACCATGCAGATGTTTGGCAACTACTTAACTTGTTTGATCCTGTTTTTGTTTTGTAAATCCAGTGGTGTGCACGAATCGGGGGTCTCCTGCATTGTGGGAGAGTCCGGTGCTTCTCACGGATTCTTCACCACCGCCATGGCCTGGTTTGACATCCAATACCCAGACACTTCATGTGATTGCAAATAGTTGCCGATCAGTTGGGGTGCTTGAAAAGGGGTGCCAATACCAGCACCCTGCAGCCTCCAAGAGGGTCGGGGTTGTTGGGCATGAAGACAATGCAGGCATGTGTTGACCATCAGACAGGTCGGGTTTGGGATAGATAGACCCACCAATAGATAGGAGTTCGTAGATCCCCACCTGTATGGGACACCTGGGACACCATGCCACGGTCATCTATTTTGGGAACAGGTCAAGTGTTCTGGTCCTGTCGACCCCTTCGCCACGGTCTTAGAGGAGCTGCGCGAGCTCCTGGGCCCAGCCTCGGATGGCGTGGCGCTGCGGAGGCAGCTTGAGGTGCGATGGATGGTGGGCTGAGTGGGTTCTTGAACTGAAAGAGATCCTTTTTGTATGTGGTTTAATGGTGCATTGCAAAAAAACAGTAGGACAAAACCAGGCAAAACCTATATACAAGCTACAGGTCGAGCAGGTTGTGCTACGATTGGTATGATGTATCATGTATTATTGTATTCTTATTGCAATGTGCAATTCTTGGAAAGCTGGACCAGTTGGCACTTTGGGTTATGGCCTGGTAAAAAAAAAGATTGTCTGACGGAACCCACTCGGGCCGGAACGGAGGGCCAAAAGGTATCAAGTTGGGTGGTTGATTCATGTTCATCCTTGTTTTTGGCTCAACAAGGGGGTGGTTTTCCCCTGTAATATGCTCCCGGACAGCCAATTCCAGTCATACACAGGGTCACAGCTGCCGGGTGTTCATAATGTAAGAAAAAGCGCATAAAGCATGCCCTCAAAGGTGTGCCATTTCTTGGAGATCAACGAAGATTAACGCCATGGCAGGTTTTTTTTTCGGCCCCCAAATACCTGTAGATGGAAAAGTAGATCCCTACTAAAAATGTATTGGAAACCGTTTCTGATCTATTTGGGGATCACTGTATATTAAATGGCCAAACGTGTGCAGGGCCCAGGAACATGTTTGGAGATCAAGGAACGGTAAGAGACATGACATACGTGGTGAAATGCAGGGCCTGGGTGTTTTCGGCAGGTCGAGCGCCGAATGAGTCTTCCCTTTGCGTATAAACCTGGTTTTTGATGTGTTATATACATTGTGTACCCTCTTTGATCTAGACAGTTCCCTTTGGGAGTTTACGAGTTTCTATCCTGTCCCTCTCTCTCTCTCTCTCCATGGAAGTCCACTGTTGAGTTCATGAATGATGGTATAATAATGATATAGAGGTTGGCCTTGCTTTGTCGAAGTACCAGTTGAAACGATGAATGGCTTTCGGCTCTGCGCTTGTGGCCCAGCCGCCGAGCCGGCATCGCTCGACTTACCAGGCGCTCCACTTGATCTGAACACATCAAAGTGGAGATGCCATGAGATATCCACTTGACCAGGACGGAAATGACTCATGTCATGTAGAGCTCAACTTGCTCAAGCTCTCATTCCATTGTTCAGCTTTGATCAAGCGAGGAGAGAGAAGGAGACCCCGGGAAGCCCGAGGTCCGGGTTTTCGGTGCCTCAACAAACATCGCCCAGCTACTTCATGGGATTTGAAGGAAGATGAAGGAAGCACCCCTATGAAGATCAACATTTAGGGCCACTTTCCTCCGGGTCCGGCCGATGGCGCCGATTCTGGCACCTGCCGTGCCGCGACGCCGGGAGCTGTCACTTGGAGAGGTGAGAACGTGTGGAGCTGGGACATTTAGGAAACGTTCGTGAACATATGTGAAATATACATAAATAAACTTGAGATGACTTGAGTATAGACGTTGTAATGATTTTGTTCAGCATAGAAGTCGTTGGAGCGGGGCATAGACAGAATATCAAATGAGACACTTGCTTTTCAGACCCAAGCCAAGCTCGATATTTGTGCTAACGAGCAGCACCTCAGAAAGACGTTTGGTTTGTTTTGCAGTGAGCCACTGAGTTGAAGCAATACATGAGCGAGCTTCGGTTCTTTGGGTGTGTTTCACAAAGGTGCATGATGAAAAAGGAATTAAACACTGAAACACCAATGCTTTGAAGGAATAAATGTTTGTTTCATGTTCTGTTTCAATGAATGAATGAGCACCCCTTTTGATAGAATGAATGAAACAAAGACTACAGGGGTTGAGTGTCACTGACCCTTCAGTGTTGAAGAACCTGAACGCTTCCGTCCAAGATTCGGTGCCTGTTTTTGGTTGAGAGACTCTTCCGAAGTCAGGCAGGACTCTTCCGTTAAGACCCCCAGCACCAGAGCCTTCAGGTCACAGTACCAGAGCCACTGCACCAGAGCCTTCAGAGCTTTCTGCTTTGTTTGGCAAAGAATTCATAGTCTACTTCGGGCCAGAGAAGAATCAAAGGTTTTCTTCGACGACGCAGAGTCAAGCATCAGGTACAATCCAACAATGCAAAGGTTTGGCTAGAGAGCAGCACTTTTCAGAAGCTCCAAGAGCACCAACAAATAACAAGATGCATAGTACGCAGTACTAGTGTTCGGTAGGATGTTACAGAGGTTCGAAGAAAGTTTGGTGACTAGAAGACCGAGAGCCGTTGATTTGCATTCCCTGCATTCGGTGCATAGTTCAAAATGGTAAATCGCAGGTTGCATCACTGTTGAAAAGCGAGTCAAGGCAGTGGGCGAGCTCGCCGAACGACGGAGAAGGTCACAGGAAATCGGTCAAGCGCTCTCGCTCCAAAGGGCCGCTCGCTAAGAATGGCCAATGCACTCTTGTCAGAATGCCCTTAGGCAAAGGCACATCGACGTTGCCGACCCAAACTGCGTGCCAAATCCGGAAAAACAGCCAGGGAGCCCAGCACCTTTTGAGGGGGTGATTGGATTCGCCCCAACAGTTGGCGTAACTTGGTGCGGAGACATTACTAGCAGTTCAGAAGTTCTGAGGAGGGCACGCCTGGAGGCCTTGGTCAAAACGTCACAGAGCAAGGCCGCAAGGCGGTCTTTTTGCTTTGCCTTCGAGCTACCGAAGTCAAGTTCACCAACCGTTTTCCTCACAGGTCTACTGGCGGACTTGAAGGACATGGTTGCTAACTGGCATTTTCTATGGTTTGTCAAGGAGACCGGTTTATGTGAACCTGTCTGTTGCGTGGACGTGAAATTCCTGGGAAGTGCGCGAAGCTGTTGAAGACCATGTATGGCAGACAAGACGCTTCTTCAGTGTGGCAGGAGATATACAAAGAGTTCTTGGAAGAGCGTGGCGTCATGGATAAAGACAAGAAGAAAAGCTCAAGAATAGTCCTTCTCACATTCTTACATCCACCATTTCCATGGCAGCTTCTGTCCAGTCCTACGTGGGTACCTGGGAAGCCGGGGTGGCGTTTCATAGTGACTCTCGCCAAGGACAGCAAAACCAAACAGGAAATAAGGATGCTCGCGCGGAAGGAGGCGAGGGTTGTGGGGCCCAAGTGGTCCGTACTTGGCTTGCGCCGAAGATGATAACTGCACCAGTCAAGACAAGAACTTACACGCACTGACTCCAGTTCCAGAATCACCAAATAGATTCCACCAAAATCACACGCACTGATCATTAGTTGACTCTCGCACCAACTAGTCATCAACAATGACAATGACTCTCAAAACCACGAATTTCCACACCGAGTTGGAAACTAAAACCTCCAGCAAACTTTTACCTGGACGCCGCATTCGGATTGTTCTTGGGTTCTGCCGCTATGCCTCTCTGAGCGGTTTTTTAGGTCCACAGATCATTGGGATGGGTTGGCCCTCTCCGACTCACTGGAAGTAGACATCCCCTTCTTCGGTATTCAGAACATGGTCTTCCTCTTGGGGCCCTTCGGGGCCTAATTACCCCAAGCTGAAATCATGTCTCGGCGATCCGCCGCGGAGCTCCCTAAGGCATCCCAAGCCCATCTTCGATGAGCCCTCGCTGCGCAGCTTCCTGACGGGCCATGGAGCCAAAACGGCCGCCCGGCACACGCGAGGGAGAGAGGGAGACGAGCCTTAGCGGGTGATGTTGGGTTCTGTGCCGCCACTTTCATAATCCTCAATCTTCCATTTTACACCGGGAATCTCCAACAGGTTTTTTTTGGGGATGTTTAACAGGTGCTTTCTGAGCACCTGTCACCAGGAAAGTTCTGTTGGAGGGTGTTGGTGGGAGCAGCAAGTTTGCAGGGATCATTTTTCCATCTATATTGGGGGACTCAAAAGCATCCAGGAACCCGCCGGACGTGTCCCACGTGTTTGTCATGTTGTTTCCTGAAACCGTGGTACATGGTACAATATGGTACACAATTTGTGTGAGCCAATGTCGACATGTTAAGCATGTCTTGCGATTCTTTTCCCGGATCACCTCAGCTTTAGGTGCTGGCCCTGTAGCAAACTTCCGGTTCGAATGCTTAGTGATATTTTGTCAGCGCTTGGCCCCGTAGTTGGTCTTTGTCACTCGACACCTCGATTAGCTGAACTCATCCTGCTCTTTTTGGTGGCCTTCATTCTGGGATTTTGCTGTGGGGGGCATCATTGTGGGCCTTTTGATTTCAGCTCGGTGTCGGGTGGCCACCGCCCGATTGATCTACTTTCTGATTGAGGGCGCAGACCAAGACTTGAGGCCAAGACCAGAAAGGCCGACAGGAAGCCCTGACCGCTTGCAGCGGTATCGTGCGTGAAGGACGGCTCCGCTCCTTGGGTGGAGAAACCTGCTTGACAGCATTCCGAGCACACTACGGCGTTGGTGGTGGCTGCTAGCTGACCTGTTTGGCACTTTCTTTCTCACTGTAGGCTGGGAGGTTGGGTGCCAGAACCTAGCGCAAGAAAGCACGCTGCCGTTCAACTACCTGGCTTTTCGGCCTCCGCCAGGTCTTGAGGACCCCCCCTGTTTGAGTCAGCAGTTGTTCCTTTTCAAAGACCATGCCGATTGCCGAAAGAGGCATTTTGAACCTGCGTGTGATAAATGGGAATGGTCAGCCAGTAGACACCTTGATGCTGAAGTGGCCTGCAGTGGGCAACGAATGGCACCTTGCCCTTCCAGTTCGAGTTTGCGCTACTGGGCTGATTCTAGCTTTGCCGAAGGGTGCTCTGACGGACGAAGACTTAGAAGCAGGACATGCAGCAGATCCAGATGCCTTGGTGGGTCCCAGTCACGAAGTCAGAGTGAGCTTGACCGAGACTCCAGATGTCGAAGTGGATGTCGTGTTGGTAGAATTCGCAATGGCCATCAGACTCCAGCTCGAAAACAGGACAGCTCGAAGCCGGAGAGTGGTGAACGCGTTCACCGAACAGACCCGGGACCTTCAAATGCCCAACATTGCCGAGCTGGACGAACACATGGTGGCTTGGCTCGAGACAGGGGCGCTGCGCACAGACGACTTTCAGACGGCAGTGGAAGGACCGCTCGAGGCAGAAGATCGGGACAGTCGGTTGCTTCAGGAGATCTCAAAGCTACAGACTATGATGGACCGCCGCTTGAGGCTCATGGAGAACCAAATCCACGACCTTCAAGACCGGCAACCCCGACCTGCAGACAATCCGCCAAAGCCCAAAACTCAGCAGCAGCCAGGAGGCGCCTTGCCGCAAAAGAGCGGCGTGCGAGAAGAGGAAATCTCCGAAGCTGTGGAGGCAGCAAGCCGCTACCTCAAGCCAAGGCCAAAAGCAATGCCCGACCAGCCGGGAAGAACATTGGAGACTTTTGTAGATACCCCTCAGTTAGAAGAAGTCGACGCGGCCTCGGTAGACGACCTTATGAAACTCTCCATGCTCAAGCTGATGAAGGACCTACAGCAGAAACAGACCAAAACCAAGTCGAAGAAGAAGCTGCCAGGACTCACCTTTTGGGAAGATTCGGAGTCCAGTCAGGACGAAAGTGTAGGCTGGAGCTCAAGCAGCAAAGGAGGACGAGGTATCGAAGCAGTAGAGAAGGTGAAGCATGCCATGAAGGGCCATCCCGAGGCCTATCAGGAAAGGATGGAGCAACGCATGTTGAAAGCTTGCGATGCTACCGAAATGACCCCCTCCATCCCTCTGCAGTTCGTGAAGGGAAGCCCCGTGGGGAAATCGCGAACTGCGGGGTACTGTCTCCAGGGATTCGCCGAAGTTCACCGTTTGCTCCTAGAAAGCAAACCCAAGCAGGCACGTTTGCATGTGCTCAGGATGATGGCAGCTCTAGAGCAGTTCCTGATCGACGAAAGTTGGGTGGTGGCCAGCCGATTGACTTGTACCGAGGAGCCTCCATGGGGTCATTGGGCGACTCAGGACGTGGGCGCCATCAGGCGTCAACTGGTGTACAATCGACTGTCCGAAAGCACATGGGTGGCGGCAGTGATCAACCAGTTGAAGGAAGAAGAATGGCTGACAAAGAAGCGGACGGGGCTCAATGCCAACGGCAAGGGCAAGGACAAAGACAAGGACAACGCCACCTGAGAGCCCACAGATTTTTGAACTGGGTTTGCCCGCATGTAATTAAAGAGTCCAACCCACCTGCTGAGTTTCGTACCCCTTTTGATTGGTTGCGTAACTTAGTGAGTGATCTTTTGAATTCGGATCTGACTGTGTCTTGCTATGTGCGAAGCACTTTGAAGCCTTCGCAGGAATCCAAACCGGACAGCAAAGGAGCTGACCTATATCCGTGTCCTCCTCCTTACCCTTGGGCTATTACCAAAACTGGTTCCCCAAGGAGGTCCGCTCGTAGGGTGCAGCGATGGAAAGTTCGTAGGGCGGTTGAGATTTGGGTCAACTTGTTGGTTTGTGGTTTGTCGCAACAGGCGATTGGATGTGCTGTTGCACCCGAGCGTGGGAGGTCTGGGGCCCCTTTAAACAACTCACAACTAGCAATGGTAGAGTTTTTGAAGGGTCTTGCATGTTCTGTTGTCCGCCTGGGCCTGGAATCCAGTGGCGGCTCACGCTTGCCCGCAGCTAGGAACCGATTGGAGCAGTTGCGAGAGCAATTAAGTAGTCTAATTAAGTTGCCGTATGCATGTTCTTCTAGGGCCTTCGTCGAAAAGAAAGACCCCTCTTTTGCTGCGACAAAAGCTTTGCCAGTCATTGCGGAACGTTTGAGTTTGCCCAGTGAAGTGCGAGACTTTGACCCAACCCCATTTTTAACTCCTCTGTTTCGAAAAATCTACGAAGAGCCCGGCGCCTTTTTGAAAGCGCCCCAAGACATGCCGGAACCGGTGAAGATTAAGGGCACTGCCACTCGACAAGAGCTCCTCAAAGTGTGTCAACGATGGGACCGACTCAACCGCCTTTTTGTTTGCAAGAGTTCTGATGTGGATGAGTCTGATAGGTGTGAATTGTTTGCCGTGGCTAAAGATGAAGAGAAGGACCGGCAAATCTTGCATAGAAAAAGGCGGAACCAAAGAGAACAGCATTTTGTTGGGGCTTCTAGGGACCTGCCTCACGGCGTGCTTTTGTGCCAACTCCCCATGGAAAGGACTCATGTGTTAGTGTGTTCTGTTGATGATGTTAAGGACTTTTACCATGCTTACACTGCTTCGGAGGCTAGGGCCAAAAGTTCACCGGTAGGTCCCCCGTTTTGGTACAGAGAGGTGGCCCATTTGAAGGCGTGTCAAGATGCTCTCAATGAAGGGCGAATCAAGCCAGGTGACAAGCTGGTGTGTTGCTTTAAAGGGTTAGGTATGGGAGACCACGCTGCTGTTGACATTGCCCAGGAAAGTCATGTGAATGTGTTAAGAACTTTTGGGGGAATGCAGGATAGTGAAACTCTTTCCTACCGTAAACCATTGCCTTTAAGCACTACTGGCTTCTATGAGGGAGTGATGATCGATGATCACTTGGGAGTTCAGCTCTTGCCTCGCTTGTCTTCTCGAAAGCGCGCTCTCGCGCAACCTGGAAGAGACGAAGCGGCCTTTGCATCAGCTGAGGAGGCTTACGCCAAGGTTGGATTAGAAGCCCACCCCAAGAAACGACGGAGACGAGTTCTACATGCGCAGGTTTGGGGAGCTGAAATTGAAGGTGAGAAGGGTCTTGTTGGCCCTAACAGAGGACGACTTTTTCAACTGGCAAAGTTTTCGGCCGAACTAGCAAAGCCGGGAGGGGTAGATTTGAAAATCGTCGAGGCTGTGACGGGGTTATGGGCCCATTGCGCTCAGTACAGGCGACCCATGTTCAGCTTCATGCACGCAATTTACCATCAGCAGGGACCTTCTACAGGGGAAACAGTGTTTAGACTCTCCAGAGAAGCCCGTAATGAACTGATGGTTTTGGCTTTGCTTGCCCCCCTTATGTTTGAACGATTTGACTGTGTTGCCTGATCCTTTTGTTTATTGTGTTGATGCTTCGCCTTCCGGGGCGGGTTGTTGTCGGGTTAGGGTTGGTGAAAACGTTTCTAGACAGTTGTGGAGGAGGGGGGGGACAAACAGGGCTACCGTATGCCGCTTCTCAGCCGACTTGGAGCCAGTTTGAAAGGTTCAGGTTGGAACGAGGATGCCGTATATGATTTTTTGACAGAGACAGAAGATGACCGCGAAGCTTGCGGTTCTTTGCCCAAATTCAATCATGTCCGAGATTGGACGGGGTCTTTTTTACAGAAGGCTTTTGCTGCGGATTGGAGCCCTGGTTGGCCCACGCACTTGGAAGAGTCCCCGTTCGATTTTTTGGAACTATATTCTGGCTGCGCTCAGATGAGTAAATCATGGGCTAGACACGGGTTTCGAACGTTGCCCCCTCTTGAGCTTAAGCAGGGATGGGATCTTAAGGACGCCGGACTTTTTTTGGGGGATTTTGGGGTTGGTTCGTTGTGGGAAAGTGAAGTTTATTTGGTGGTCCCCTCCTTGTACTACGTTTTCATTAGCGCGGTGTCCTAAAGTCCGATCCCTGCGTATTCCTTGGGGATTTGACCTGTTGGATTTGGTGACCATGTTGGGAAATCTGCATGCTGCCCAAAGCTTACTTATTGCTATGGTGCAGTTAGCGGTTGGGCACTTTTTTCGCAGGTGAACAGCCGGGTTTCGGATTTATGAGGGCCCTTGAACCGTGGACTTTTCTGAAACTTTTGGGCGTTCCGGAAATCCTGTTTGATTGGTGTAGGTATGGGCAACCTTTTCGGAAAACGACGCGTTTATTCAGTAATTTCCCGCATTTTGACCGTCTAGGCAAACGTTGTCATCATGTTAGCAGGCATGTTCCGTTGAAGGGAGCCACTACTACCCAAGCTGGGGCCTACTCTAAAACCTTTTGTGATGCTGTTGCCAGACATTGTTGTTCGTTTTGGCCTCCTTTTGAACAAAAGGCCCCGGAACAGCAAAACATCAGGGGAGACAGGAATGGACTTAGGCAAGGTCGTAAGCAGAAATTTGCATCTCCTTTGTGGGCGGTGCAGTTGTCGGAGTCTATGCCTTGGAAGCCTTTCATGCAGTACCAATTCAAACATGTGTCCCATATCAACTTGCAAGAAACGAAAGCGAGACGTTCTCTTTTTAAACGCCTTAAACGTGATCAGCGCGTTGTTCTTTTTCAAGACTCCCGAGTCAATTTAGGATCGCTGGCTAAAGGACGCAGTCCTTCCTCAAGTCTGAATCTTTTGATGCGGCAAGAAGCCCCTTATCTTCTTGGAAAAAACTTGTATGTGGCAGCGCTCCTTCAAAATGTTGGAGATCTACGTGCAGGAGCTTGGAGCTGCTCAGGTTTGGATTCGTTTTGACCCTCAAACAAGGCGAGGGGTTTTGTTTTTGGGTGATTGTTTTCTTCGTGTGTTGCATGCTTGTCGGCCTGTAGGACCGCCGTAGTGTTGTAGGACCCGATGCCCGCCCCCCCCGGAATGGGCACGATGGGGAGGAACCTTTGTTTTTTAAATCCGCTGGTTCCCGTCGTCGAAAATAGAC